AAAAAAAAAAAAAAAAACACTTACACAAAATAATATTGCGGAACTCTTCGCTACGTTAATTGATTACTAGCAACGTCTCAGCCTTACCAAGGATTTTCATGCCGATGGTTCGACACTGACAATGTTAAGGACAGGACGTTGCTCCTGAATGGCTGATCTGATTATGTGGAAGAAGGGTTATCCTTTCCTAGGCAAAGTATGAAACTGCCTGTAAGACTTGCACCTAAGGCCAAATGGGCATGCAAGCGTGGTCAGACTTTTCCCAGCAACATGGAATCAAAGACAAAAGAAACTTACCAAGTGATTTCTTACGTGCAAACAACTTGAATCTCTTCTCTAATGTAAATATGTATTTTTCAAATAGATTTTTGATTCAGCTCATTATGGAAAACATCCCAAACTTTAAAATGTGAAATTACTGGTGGATGTGAACAAAGCCAGGCAGTTTCTGTTTCTTGTCTTGATGAAATAATAAAATGCAAATGAATCATTGTTTAAAAGAGGAAAAGAAAAGGGCAGAAAGAACTGGGAGAGTAGCTCCATGACAGAGCACTTGGCAGCTGTGCATAAAACCATGGGTCTAGACCCGGACCACAAAAACAAAAGCAAAACATCCCCTTTGATAGGAAGGTATCTTCATCCCTAACTTGTCTCCTCCATTTAAAGAATCAGTTTTTGAAATTCGTAATCATTAAAATGAGTGCTAGTTTTTAAGTTGGAGAGCCTTATGTATACTACATAATCAGCCACATGGGGACAGAGAGCAACAATCACCCAGGCAAGGTGACTCAGGAGAGCCCGAATGAAAATAAACCTCTTGGAAACTTCAAATTCCTCAAAAAAGTTTTGACTTAGACTTCCAAGGAATGATATTCTGAAGGGGGGATTTCTTTCAAGCTCATTGATAGATCCTCAGTGGACTGAAAGGGCCACAGCCACTTTGGTTTTGGTAATCGCTACCCTCAGGGTGGCAGAAGTTACACAGCTACATCACATCACATGGCAGTGCTCGTCCCAAAACGTACACTTCATCTCATGCAACCCCTGCCTCTTCCCTTACTTGCTGCCTGTCAATCTGCGGACAATATCAGCCCTCAGAGCAAATGATACAGCTTTTCCATGTGCAGAACAGAAATTACTGTACTTAGAAATTGGGTGTTCCTTACCTTTTCTTCGCTTTCTGTTTTAGACAGTGGGAAAGAAGGAGGGGCAAGAAAAAACTGAATAATTTGCCTGGGAAGAAGTCCCTGGGCTTTCCAAGTCTGGTGAGAAGAGTAACTGTTCAGCCCTTCCTTCTCCTGCCAGACCCCTCAAAAAACATAAATGTGAATGGAAAGGTAAAGCGCCAACAGCAGTCAAAGGGGATAAAGGATTTCTCCCAAAATTGTGAGACTACTATGTTACATGTCAAGAAGCTCATGGAAAATAAACCGGAATGGACAGAAATGAACTAAAACTCATGGAGCGCAGAGTTTAAGGCATGGTACGTCACGCTCATCTGGACTGATGCTTTGTCATCACTGAAATTGTAAGGTTTTATGGAAAAGAGATACTGACTGCCCAGATAAACATGCCTTTCATTTCCTGACTGCCCAATATGCAGGGCAGGGCCACGCATGCAAACAAGTGGGCTGGATACTCTGTCTGCTTGGGTTACAAGGAAGAAGGAAGTAATGTTGGCAAAAGGTACTAACAAGAACCTTAGCAAAAAATGATTCTTCTCTCATTCCAGTGAATTCTGTGATGGGGGTAATAGAGGAGAAACACAAGAGAACTCACAGGCCTAAAAGTTTTAATTCACCCACTTCCCAGAAGAAATGGCCCTCTGGCATATTTTTTTCAGAAAAACACAGTCAAGTTCCTGTCAGAATGTGGAGTTGAACACAAAAGAGACTTACTTATCCCCACATATCTCCAGAGAAAACCAACAGCTTCCCCCAGAAAGTATTTCCTGGTTGGGAAGGAAGGAAACGCATATGAAGAAGGGAAGAGAAAAACCCTCAGTATCACAAACGGCCCCAGTGGAGATCAAGTCTGTGGAGCCTCACTCCTTCTTCTCCAGTTTTTTGTGGCTGAGTCAGGTTTTGTAAAAGCTCCTAGGGAGCCAGCAGTGGGAACCCCGTGTAAGTCTGCTTTTCAGTGAGGTGTGCCACCTCAGTTGATAAAGAAGGCATGACAAGTACTAGCAGAAGCAGTGGCACCTGCCCTATTGTAAACTGGGTTGGAGCAATGAAATTCCTCTTGAATTTCTATGGCCCAATCAATGATTCTGCTCTAATGAAACCATACATCAGAAGGAATTTGCATAAGCTGAGTCCCGCTTGGCACCTCAACAAAGAGAAAGTGATGGATTTTGCATTAAATTATAAGGTCTACCTGACAACTTATTGGTTACCAATAAATGATCCCTCTGAAAATTCCACTCAATGTTTAAGTATTTTCAAAGCATCCCAGCTGCCAATGTGCTTGTAGCCATAAAAGCCGATGAATGAGGGCAGATGCTCTGATGGTATGGTTAGTATGTCCCTGATTTTCAAGGTACCAGCATTTCTTAAGAAATTTACCAAAGCTTAGCTCTCTTATGACCACCCACAAACAGAAGTCACAGCCTAAAATGAAAACACACCATGTTAAAATATACACTTTTATACATGAAAATGTGCTAGGGAACTTGTCAGCAAGTTAGAAGGCTGCCACTCATTTTAGTTAAATAAAACTTTATTGAAATACAGCCACAGCTATTCATACACTACAGTAGTAGAATTTAATAGTTGGAACAGAAATCTTCTGGTCTACAAGGCCTAAAATGATTACTGTGTGGCCCTTCATAGAAAACTTTTACCAATTCCTGTGCTATAGAAAAGAGAAAATGTAAAATATGAAGTGACCCAAGATTAACTACAAGGCTTCTTCTGTCCTTAATTTTTCAAGTGTCTAAGTTCTGCCAAAACAGATCTAACTGGAGACTTGAGAAAGTAAAGTATTGGGAGTAGACATAGTTTTAAAAATAATAGCTATGAGTTTCAGTGGACTCGATTTTGAGATTTTGAATAAATTCTAGGTTCTCCTTACCCTTATAACTCTGTCTGGGTGAGAATTTCATAGAGAGAAAGAAATACTTGAGTTGAAGAAATAAGAATATATTTGGGGATAAAGGTAATTCTAGGAAGAGGGAACAAAACAATTTATACCCAAGAATTAATTAGCAATCAATGTTATTCATTTCGGCCTGTTTCATCAAAAGAAGCTTTTAAAAAGTTGCACATACTGCCTAGCAGGCGCAAGGTCCCGAGTTCAATCCCTGGTACAAAAAAAAAAAAAAAAAAAAAAAAATTTGTACATAAATCAGTTCAATGACTAAGGATTCACCATAAGTTATATTTTTTATGAGATATGGGAATGGGCCCATGGACAAAAAGAAAAAGAATACCTCTCAAGCCTACTCATGAGAACACTATAATAAAGAAAATGATTGTGATTCCAGGAACTATCATTAGCATGATTATGGTAGCTATCGTTTATTGAATGTTTATCACACACTGGGCATTAGGCTAGGTGCTGAGGTATTATCCCATTTAATCTTCACAGCAGTCTTAGGAAGTAAATACTATTATTATCCTCATTTTGCAAATGTAGAGCCTATAACCGAGAAAGAGAAATAGGGACTGGAAGTCTGTAAGCAGCAGCGCAGTCTGGGGTGCGTGTTGTCATCATCATACTAAGCATTAAACCTTAACACATACCCCAAGGCCACCCCAGCCCCACCTGAGCACAGCTCTCCACCCCCCACCAAGCCCACTTACCTCTGCAGACCCGGCAGCACTGATTCTCTGGAAGAATGTGATCCTTTTCTGAGCAGTTCAGAGGAGGACACGTTTCTGTGATCTTTACTAAAACTCCACCCTGGAAGCCAAATATCAGGGAAACAAAAACAATGTTCATGTGTTTAGTCGATGATACAAACTAATAATACTCATTGTTAATAGCCTGCATTGATAACAACCTACAATAATCAACGGCACTCTCGGCAATGCCACTAATAATGGTAACATTGCAAATTAAACTGATGAGACTCCTGAAAAGAAGAAGAATTCCCTTTTCTGGTCAACTGAGCTCAATTTCAGGTTTCTTAGTATCTTCTGCAGAGCAGAAGGATGCTGTCAGTGTCAGCTGATAAATTTTTAACAACTGACCTGAGCAGGGGAGGCCTAATCTGTAAGGTTTACGGATTTCTGCTGTGTTGATATTTTAACAATGGTGGATTCTGAGCTACCAACTCAATGCCATCAGTGAAGCAGCACTGGACAGTTCTGTGCCATTTCTTATGTGCACAGTGCCAGCACTGTGCTGGGTAAACGGCACTGCAAACTCAGAGAAGAGTAAGACCTCCTCCTTGCTCTTAATAATCCCACAGTTTGGGGAGAAGAGATAAAATTTCTTAAGCTATAAACCATAATATAGTCCAGCAAGTCCTTAAAAAAAATGTGCTCTAATAAAAGCATTAGATGGTGTCATGGGAGAATAAGGAATTCTACCCAGATGGGGAGAGACTATGGAGATGCCACACTGAAGGGAAAATGAATAACAGAATAAAAGAAGAAGAGACCCCTCTGGCAGAGGAAACAGACAAGAGCCAAGTTATTCAGGTTTGTAGGAAAGGAAAGAGGGTCAGGCAGATGGGCACTAGATTTTCCCTAGAAATAAATAAACTCACTTACATAAAATGTTAAATATTCGGCAGCTGAATCTTTATGACCTCACTTCATTTAAGGTCCTCTTTGTTGGAATTACTAGGGTCTGTATTTAGTTTTATGAGGAATTTGTAAAATGAGTCCACTGATTACCATCTTTAGGAAGGTGGAAGAGGCCTTTATCGTGCCTAGGACATTTAGTTTTTCTCTCCCATTCTGAGGAAGATGTTTAAGACCACCAAGAAACAAGCTCAAACAAGGAGTCTCATTTAAAGCCAAAAGGCAGATCCAAAGTGAGGAGGGAGGACAGGACGAGTGGGACAGCATGGAGGAATGAATGCTGTGTCTTCCCTCTCGGGGAGACTTGCTGGTTCCAGGCCCCAGCACCCTCCACGGTTCTCCAGCTGGGCAAGAACTCCCCATCCATCAGCACACCGGTTCTCACACATGAGCACGAACACAAATACAACCTTTAGTGTCAAATGTAAATGTCCAAACAGTCTTCCTTCACCTAACTTACTGGCAGCATGGCTCCCTCTCTTTTCTTGTAATTTTCCACCTGGCTAGACCAACATGTAGCATTCTTTAGCCTCTCTCTCCTTTCTTCTCCTTTGCTCTTCATTTCTGGCATTTCTCCTGCTTCTATCTTAGCGTTGGCCAGAGGTCCCAGAAACTGATCTTGCTACTCACTGTCTGGCCCCACTTTTCACAAAATCCCATCCTCACACCTCCCTGTGGGTCACGCTGGTAGCACTGAGCCTCAAGAGTTAGCACCAGGCCTAATTCCAGCATCCTTACTAATGTGCTGTAGTTTTGCCAATGGAGAATCAAACCCATGAAAAAACCAATCAAACCAATGGAAGCTGATAACCTCACTATAAAGAGCAGAGGCTAAACTGTAAGGAAAATGCTGGTTACTTATCATGATTTACTCCAATCCCATCTGTTAATATTAACATATTAATTTTGATCTACTATGTCCTGGACTAAATACAAATACTAGATACTGTTGGGTCCCTTTTATTTTTTTCTGTGTGCCCACACCCAAGATCTACCAACTTGGGTTAGAAGAGTTGCCCTTGGGCCCTGGAACCACTTCACCTGGGAGCCAGAAGTCACCCGGAAGTGCTACAGCCCCCATTCCCTTGGCCAGAAGCCACTGACTGAAGAATGTGAAATGTGCGGTGCACAGGGAGAAGACACCCCTGGGGCATAAGTGATGCTCCAGACTCGGTGGGGAAATCAGGGTGCATCATCTCGCCTTCCACCTGAAATTCCTCCTTTCCCCAGGTTTTCCATTCCCATCCAGTCTCCCGCACAGCCTGACTGGCGTCTCCTGGGAGCACCGCATTAGTAAAATCACTTTTACCGAGAGCCTCGGTTCAAGTCTTCTTCCTGGGGGTCCCAAACAAAGATCAAGAGGAATCTCACTCATACTATCAAACACTGGACTAATAACAGAGATTATCTCTAGGTGGTAACAACTCCGGAGTAATTTCTACTTTCTCCCTTAGAGGTTCTTCCTCTAAATTCCAAAGTTGACAACATATGTATATACTTGTTTTGTAAATCAAAACAATATTAAAATGCTACAGCAGATGACATTTTTAAACAATCAACTAATGAAAGCTTTTCTTTTTATAAAATGAGCTTCATTATTGAATCAGTCAAAAATTCCAATCAATTTTTAAAATATATAATAAGTAAAGTCATAATTCCAAGTGTTTAAGCAGAGACAAAGCTTTTGCATGAACTTCAAAATAGTATGAACTGTGATTGGCATTGCATAAGTGCCTTCAAATCCTCTTAATTTGGCTACATAATTAGACATGGACCTTTATTAACTTTATTTTGTAAACTATTTCCAGCAAGACACTGTGTAAAATTAATATTTTTAAATCTTCTTGATTATGGTATGTTATTGCACAACCTCTATATTGAGCACTGTGTTCATGGAAAAATATAATTCTTTCTTTTTGTGTTTTTTTTGTTTTTGAGTGACTGTGTCCATGTTATCTATTAGCCAAATATAAGCACTTTCAAGTCCTCAACTCATCACTGTATCTCTACTAACATATACAACTGACATCTTCAAGTCAAAAGTCAATAATAAGTCAGTACATATCAGTTATAACCATCAATGTCAATGGCATCAACTCACCAATCAAGAGAAATAGACTGGAAAAATGGAGTAAGAAGCAAAATCCAACAATATGTTGTATACAAGAAACAAGAAA